GAGAGAGAGAGAGAGAGAGAGAGAGAGAGAGAGAGAGAGAGAGAGAGAGAGAGAGAGGGGGAGAGAGAGAGAGAGAGAGAGAGAGAGAGAGAGAGAGAGACGGGAAAGGCCGTCGGTTGCGCGAAGCCCTCGACGACGAGCGCCTCGCCGCCGGCCAAGGGAGGACGAAGCCTCTCCGGGGGCGGAGGGAACTTCTGGGGGATCCCAGAGGGAACCCGGAGGGGCGCAAAGCCTCGGAGGAGGCCACAGGGGGCTCTTTCCTGTTGGCTCCTTATTGAAGCAGAAGGGAAGGGAAAGGGGAGACGTGGTGTACTGGCGGCCGTGCAAAGTGGAGGGCTTGGGGTGGGTTGGGGGTGGGGGGAGGAGGAGGAGGAGGAGGATCTAAAGAACCGGCCGAGCGGGAGCTTCGCTGAGCCGCTTCGCTTGCCGGGGAGCTCGCCAGTCCGCTGGAGCTGGAAGGCGGCGCGATTGGATGCTGGGACCGGTCCGGGGAGCGCCTGCGTGAGTCCGGTCCGCAACCCCGGGGAAAGATTCAAGGGAAGCAAGCCGGCAAGAAGAAAAGGAGGAAGAGGAGGGGGAGAGCTGGGGCGGAAGGAGGGGGGGGGAAGAGGGAGCTGGCCTCGGCTCGGCTGCTTTGGTGTCAGCCCGTCCCGGTTCTCCTCTCCTCCGGAGGGATGGACGGCATCGCCGCCGCCGCCTCCTGCCTTCTCCCCTCTCCCCCCACCCCCCGTCTCTGAGGAGGAGCCCGGGTGGAAAATGAGGCTTCTTTCGTGACCCTTTCCCTTTCTCTGCCTCTCTCCACCCCCCCACCCCCCCCGCAGGCAGAATCGCCGTCCAAAGGAGCCACCATTCCCTCGCCTGACAAGGGAGACCTGTTGGCGCTCGTGGCCCGGTTCTGGCAGAGGAGGAAGCGTCTGGTCGCCGCCGTCGGGATCGCCCTGGCCATGGGCCTCGTCCTGCTCATCGCCCTTCCCCTCCTGCTGCAGGAGCCCTCCGCCGCCCGCGCTCACTACGAGATGATGGGCACCTGCCGCATGATCTGCGACCCCTACAGCGCCGGCAGCGTGGCCGCCGGGCCCTCCGGCCGTCCCGGGAGCACCGCCGCTCTGGAGGCCCTGCAGGAGCTGAGCGCCCATCCGCCCTCCCCCCTGCCGCCCTTCTTGCAGGGTCCCAAGGGGGATGCCGGCCGGCCGGGCAAGCCGGGGCCAAGGGGGGCTCCTGGGGAGCCGGGCCCACCGGGCCCGAGGGGTCCCCCTGGAGAGAGGGGGGATTCTGGGAAGCCTGGACTCCCGGGCCTGTCGATGTCCCGAATCGGACCGCCCGGAGCAGCGACTACAGTGGGAGTAGCCGGGTCGGGCGTGAGTGGTAGTAGCAGCCCGCCGCCGGGAGGCGAGGTAACCGGCGCGCTGAGCGCTGTCTTCAGCGGCCCCCGGATCGCCTTCTACGTGGGCCTGAAGAGCCCCCACGAGGGCTACGAAGTGCTCAAATTCGACGACGTGGTGACCAACTTGGGCAACCACTACGAGCCCAGCACGGGGAAGTTCACCTGCCAGGTGCGCGGCATCTACTTCTTCACCTACCACATCCTCATGCGCGGCGGTGACGGCACCAGCATGTGGGCAGACCTCTGCAAGAACGGGCAGGTGGGTGCAACCCTAGGTGGGCCTGTTGGGCCGGGGCGTGGCTCCGGGGTTGAGTCACCACGTGCTAAAGGGGAGGCAGGTGAGGACAGATCCTCTGGCCTGGCAGAACCTGAGATCGGACACTTCTTGGGTTGGGGAAAAGGGGAAAAATTCAGCCACGTGGAAATATGAAATCCGCTTTGGAGCTTTTTGGCACAGGCACAGCAGAACCGGTTTTCAACCTTCGTTTCCACTCCAAAACATTTAAAAAAAAAACTTGAAAAGCTAGTCTGCAGGTGTGAAAAGGCTGCCAGAACTCTTGGTCTAAAAAGGGAATCCATAAGATTCCAAAAGTAGAAAATTTGGCCATTGTTGATGGGGAGTTTTTGACTCAAGAGACTCCCAAATCACCAATGAACTGGAAGGTGGACCCAGATCTTGAGAATTCACAATGTGGCGCCTTATAATTTGAAGATTAAGGTAGCTGAAAGGAGAGATCAACTTTCTTCCCTTATTTATCCTTCTGAATGGGTGACTTTATTTACAGGTGTTCCCTCAGTCTTGCAGTTTTATCCAAGTGTTTTACTTATGTGTTAAATGTCACATGTAGTTAGATCCTCAAGAAATCATTTTTATGGTGCGTGTGTGTGTGCAGCTGTTCTTGCTTCAAGTGAATAATTGAGTCCCTTCTTCCTGTTTTAAATGTCATCTTTGAAGGCCAAGTTTCCATTCTTTTCTTTAAATGTCAGGATCTCCTTCCAATGGAATGAGGAATACTACTTGGTGGGACAATTTCAGTTCAAGGAGAGCAAGTGCCTAACTCACTATCTAGGGGCTTCCTTCCAGAAT